AAAAAAAAAAAAAAAAAAAAAAAAAAATCAAATACCTGCTACAAACAGGACACCAAAGGGGTAAAAAGATACACAAAACATTGTCCCTGCTCTCAGATTTCTAAAAAATACAATAATGACTTAATTTTTCATAAAGAAAATAATGCCTGTATAGCAAGAACAGCAGTATTGTATCATATTTTAGTGAGACAGCAACATTTCAGGGCTCTGAAAAATGACATACCTACCTTACAAGGATTTCTAAGTTATCATCCACTTTATAAAAGCATGTAAAATGTCATGAATTCATGGTAAAAGAGACATTGTATAAATTCCTAGTAATACAAATAAATTTCTGTGTAGTAACAGGGAAGGACAACAGAATTTATTTATTTACTTATTTTTTTTTGAGACACAGTTTCGCTCTTGTTACCCAGGCTGGAGTGCAATGGCGCGATCTCGGCTCACTGCAACCTCCGCCTCCTGGGTTCAAGCAATTCTGCCTCAGCCTCCCGAGTAGCTGGGACTACAGGCATGCGTCACCATGTCCAGCTAATTTTTGTATTTTTAGTAGAGATGGGGTTTCACCATGTTGACCAGGATGGTCTCGATCTCTTGACCTCGTGATCCACCCGCCTTGGCCTTCCAAAGTGCTGGGATTATAGGCGTGAGCCACCGCGCCCAGCCAGAATTTCTTTCTTTTGAGACTGAGTCTTGCTCTGTCACCCAGGCTGGAGTGCAGTGGCATGATCTCAGCTCTCTGCAACCTCTGCCCTGCAGGTTTAAGTGATTCTCTGTCTCAGCCTCCCGAGTAGCTGAGATTACAGGCGCCTGCCATCAAGCCCGGCTAATTTTTGTATTTTTAGTAGAGATAAAGTTTCACCATGTTGGCTAGGCTGGTCTCAAACTCCTGATCTCAGGCGATCCACCAGCCTCAGCCTCAAAAAGTGTTGGCATTACAGATGTGAGCCACCATAACCGGCCCAGAATTTCTTACTGGAAAAGGTAATCTTGCTTGTGCTGTTTCTTGTTTTTAATGAGTCTAGCAAGATTTCTTCGGTCTGTTTTCACATGGCAGTTTGTTTTCCTTACTCTTCCTACAGAACAGGTTATGGCTATTTTATTCCTTAACAAATAAATACTACTCTTCCAAGTATAATTTTTGGAGGAAAAGAATAGCTCTGTTTAAAATCATGAATACATATAATTATAGCAACAGGTTCCTCTGGAGAAGATGAATGGGGATGAAAAGGTTCTACTAGAAAGGTGAGAGATGGGAAAGTTTTCCTTCCTAGGTAATCTGACATGGGACTGGGTCACTCACTAAAAGCATGCACTTTCACATCCAGGCTTATGAGAATATCTCTCTGGAAGCACCAGCAGAGTTAAGAAGTCAGAACACCCCAGCACTTTAGGAGGCCAAGGCAGGCGAATCATTTGAGGTCAGGTGTTCAAGACCAGCCTGGCCAACATGGTGAAACTCCGTCTCTACTAAAAATTAAAAAAAAAAAAAAAAATTAGCCAGGCATGGTAGTGGGCGCCTGTAATCCCAGCTACTGGGAGGCTGAGGCAGGAAAATCACTTGAACCCAGGAGGTGGAGGTTGCAGTGAGCCAAGACAGCACCACTGCACTTCAGCACAGGCAACTGAGAGAGACACCATCTAAAAAAAAAAAAAAAAAGAGAAGAAGAAGAACACGGCGTTTCTCAGAACTCCAGGAGTGTTTACGGGTATTGGCTCAAGGGAGGACTGCAGCTCAAGGAGCTCTGCCTCTTCCTTCCTTCCTACCAAGTGGGCATACTGAGTACGGGCTGGGAAACTGCTAGAAGGAAACCAGGACACTGCATGGGCCATTTAGTTTCATACTCTGACAGTATAAGAAACAACACTGCTCTGACAGTTTACTGAGCTGAAATAACTTTTATTTACAGCCATTAAGAAAAGTAACTTGTGGTCGGGTGCGGATCACTCTTGTAATCCCAGCACTTTGGGAGGCCGAGGTGAGCAGATCACAAGGTCAAGAGATCAAGACCATTCTGATCAACATGGTGAAACCCCGTCTCTACTAAAAATACAAAAACTAGCTAGGCATGGTTGCACGCACCAGTAATCCCAGCTACTTGGGAAGCTGAGGCAGGAGAATTGCTTGAACCTGGGAGGCGGAGGTTGCAATGAGCCGAGATCGCACCACTGCACTCCAGCCTGGCGACAAAGGGAGACTCCGTCTCAAAAAAAAAATTTGCAAAACAACACTCATGTATTAAGGATAAAACAGCTGTACTTTCTACAGGTTTGTCTGGCAGTGGTGGTAATTAAGGCACAGTGGTGTGGTTGTTTTCAACAAGGCCACAAAAGTTACCAAACTGGCTTCTCAAATCAAATTCATAAATCCTCTGATCTGCATCTTTGTTTTTGTGATGTATTAAACACTCCTAGTGAAAGATACAAGTAAAGGCTGATTGTTGCTTCTCGTTTTCAGGAAGATTAGCATGTTACTATTTGAAGTAACAACCATACTTCACTGTATCCAGCTAACCTGCAGCTTTTCAATCCAGCTTATCTGCAGGAAGGGAGCTGATCAGGCCCGATTTTACACATGCTCTGGGAAAACCTCAAGCATGACTAATCTGGACAGAGCCTACTCCCAAATACCAAGAGAAGCCATTGAAACACTCAACTCTAACTTTTCCCTTTACCAGGAGCAAAAACTTAGTAAGAGAAATAAAGTCTGTGACAAGTCAATATAAATTTTTACACAAAGCATTTCAAACCATATTCAACCTAAATACAGTTCAGTGCTGCCCCCTATGTTCTGTGAGTTAAATGACAAGGAGAAATAAATATCAATTTCAAATTATTTGGTCTTACCTTATAAACACCTTAGCGAACTATCAGTATGAATAGTAAGACAATATGAGGCTGGGCGTGGTGGCTCACACCTGTAATCCAAGCACTCTGGAGGCCAAGGTGGGCGGATCACCTGAGGTCGGGAGTTCAAGACCAGCCTGACCAACATGGTAAAACCCCATCTTAAAAAAAAA